ACTCTCGGTCACCATGATCCCCCACCCACCTCTGTCCAGGGTCAGTCTTCCCCGAACGCTGACCTTGGATGTCGACTGACCCGTGTGAAGAGCAGATGTCTGTGCACCCTCCACACACATATACACAGACGTCCTCTCAGATGCCTACCCCCAGGGGTCCCCACCTGGGCTGTGCCATCCTCATTCCAGAATGCTCACTGTAGGTCCCCAACCAGAATGTAGGACCCCCCACTCCCCAGCACTCGAGACAGAGCACCCCACTCAGGCAGACCCCTGGGTAATATTGGAGGGGTGGGGGAATGAATCCTCCCTCAGGCTCCCTACTGTGGCTGGAGCTGGGGGCTGGATACCTGGTGAGGGTCTGGACACCAGGTAAGAGGCAGCTCTGTGCAGAGTCCTCCAGAGAACTGGGTGCGGACCTGGAAGGACAGAGGCGGGGCTGCCTGGAACCCAGGACACTGAAGACACAGGCTGGATGACCCAATTGTAGGCTAAGGTCTCCACAGGGCTGCTCTGGGCCCCTGGAAGGATGGGGGCATTACAATCTGTTCATGGAAGCAAGGGGGTGACCAGGAGAAAGGACGAGGAAAGGTCAGGCTGGGAGAGCATTTCAGCAAGTGCTGCCTGGCTCCGTCCTCTGGACAAAGGGAGAGCACATGCCCCCCTCTGCAGTCCCTCTGCACTCCTTCCAGACCCACAGACCCCAGGACAGACTCCTGACCCTTTCAAGCCTAACATACACACGGGAGTTGGGGAGTGGGGAGTAAATACACTTTAGATCACTTGTTTCTTTCATAGGATGTTGTTTTTCAATGGAGCACAATGCTAACAATAGTTAGATCATGAATGGCAGATGAATGTTTGCCGGATGATTTTTTTAAACTGTGTGGTTTGAAATCTTTAAAGTGTTAAAAAGCAATGCTATCACTTTAAGGACTAGGTGCGCCTGACCCAAGTCAACAGTATTTTCAATCACCTCAAATACATGCGAAAGCTGGACAATGAATAAGGAAGATCAGAGAAGAATTTATATCTTTGAATTATGGTGTCGGTGAAAAATACTGAATAGACCACGAATTGCCAGATGAACAGACAAATCTTGAAGAAGTCCGTCCAGGATGTTCCTTAGTAGTGAGAATGGTGAGTCCTCATCTCATGGACATGTCATCAGGAGGGACAAGCCCTTCAAGAAGGACATCAAGCTCAGCAGAGGGTCAGCGGGGAAAAAGGACGACACCCAGTGAAGTGGACTGACGCAACACTGAACAGCAACAGAGCCGTGACGGGAGGAGACACCGCACAGGGCTGGCCTGGCTACGCTGAGGTGGGTCGGAGGTGAATGGACAGCAGCCGACAGCCAGTTACAGAGAAGCTTGGAACCGGCACTGTGAGGTGTCTGCAATCAGATACCACGGCCTTATTTCTGGAGATCACCTAAGCCTTGGCCAATCCTCCCTAAGGTGTACGCCCGACAGAAACATGCCCGGCTACTCACCTCACAAGATCTACCAGGCTCAGAGCGGCCACATGTGTAGTAACCCCAAACTGGAAGCAGCCAGATGGCAGGCAACCCAGGTGGGGGGGGAGGGGGGGAGGGGCAGGGAGAGAGAGATGTGTGAGCCCAGGATGGACAAACCACAGCATATGGATGCATCTCCAACTGTCCACAGAAACAGGCGATCAGACACAACTTGCTTCTTGATCTCATTCAAAATCCAAAACCAAAAACCTGCAGTCAAGTCAAGCGAGTGTGAACCAGAAGCAATGTGTTCCACGGGACGTTCGTGGCTGGCTTTTCTTGGAAGTAGATTGCCAAACCTTTCTTCCAAGGTACCATGCAGTGGGTTCAAACTGGCAAGCTTTCAGCCAAGCACACTGGCTGTCTGCATGACCCAGGCATTGGCTGGGAGGTGACGAGGGACAGGGAGTGCCCGAGTCCACTATATTCTGTAGTGACGACACAGGTCAGGAAAGCAGCTGCTCTGTCCCTGGGGAAGGGACTCAAGGGACCGTATGGGGAGAATGAAAACGTCCCACATCCTGACAGCGTGCGGTTTACGTCTGTTCAAAGTTGTAGTCGCCCACTGTAGAGGTGTGCGTTTTGCTACAAGTACAATTTTGCCTCAGCAGTAGATGAACAGAAATATATGAGGGGGCTGCAAAAGTTTGTGGAAAAATTCCATGATCTTCTCATTCCATGCCCCACACTTACATGTTTCAGAACCCTAGTGGGGTCAATGGGAGCGTGGTAGCTCAATACAGTAAGCGCTGGGCTACGAATCACAAGGCCCGTGGTTTGAGCCCACCAGATGAGGCTTTCTGTTCCTGAGATGATTTAAAGCCTCAGAAACCCAATGCAGCAGGATTGCTATGAATCAGAACCAACTCGATGGAACTTAACAACAACAATGAGTTAAAGAGTCTTTGTGTGGCACTGTGGGATCAGCACTGGACTGTGAACCACAAGTTTGAAGGTTCAAGCCCACCAGCAGCTCTTTGGAAATCCTATACAGGGTTGCTAGGAGTGAGAACCGACTCGATGACACTTAACAACACCAATAGTGGGTTAGCAAGGTGCAGCTGAGCCTCACAGACTCTGCTGAGTGGACTAAGAATGGCCACAGCTGCCCTGGGAGACGCCTGGCAGCATCTACTCCACACCCCTCAACCCGGGAGGCGAACGAAGAGCTCACATACATCAACCAGAGAGCAGAGCTTATGAGTGGTCAGGGAGGAAGCAGAAAACCCATGTATGGGGTGCAGATGTCGGTTCTGGGTAACAGGAGAACGCAGAACTCCATCATGGTGAGCGGTGGACCCGAGACCATGTGACTCCCTCCCAAAAGGACAGCTGTCCTTGGAAAGGGCTTCCCAGGCAGAGGAGGTAGGCAGAGACAGCCCCGGCCACATTCCTCAGCAGTTCCAACTGAAGGTCCCGCCTGACCCACATCTGCAGAACCTTTTCCTGTGGAGGATCCCAGCCCAGGCATCTGAGGGAGGTGCCCTCCTTGGGACTCATGATAAGACCAAAGCACAGGAAGTCCAGGGAGCCCCCGACCCTGTTGTGGGGACCCCCATCAGCTCCTGCATGGTCCAGGGCTGTGGAAACGAACCACCATCAGCCCCAGCCCGAGTGTTCTCTTCCCTGTGAACTTTATAAAACTAAGAAGAGAACATCTAAGAACTGAGGGGAAAACAAGCCCCGTGTGCCCACGGGGATCGCCCACCTCAGGTTGTTATGTGCTGTCGAGTTGGTTTCCGCTCACAGAGACCCTCCTGCATGGATTTCCACATGGGGAACGTGTGGCTCTGTAGGATAAGCACTGGACTGTGAACCACAAGGTCGGCGGTTGGAGTCTGCCAGTTGCTCTGAGGGAGAAAGATGAGGCTTTCTGCTCCCACACCGATTTACAGATCTCGGAAACCCTATCCTGGGTCTCTGAGTTGGAAACAACTTAAAAAATATCAACAGATCTCTACAGCAGCAGAAAGTCTCATCTTTCTCCCATAGAACGGCTGGAGGATTTGAACCGCTGACCCTGCAGTTAGCAGTCCAGCTCGTGACCCACTATGACTCAGCCTGTTGTTGTTAAGTGCCATCGAGTCAATTCTGACTCACAGTGACCCCATACAGGGTTTCCATGGAGCAGATGGTGGATTTAAACCACTGACCTTGTGGTTCACAGTCCAGTGCTGGTAATAGAGCAGGAAAATGATGGCCAGCAGTGCCCAGGAAGCCCAGCTGGTGTCCAGTCTTATAGCCAAGGGTGGGAAAGGGAGCCTCAGCTCAGCTGGTCACTAAGTGACCACATTCCCTCAGGCTTCTGGCCAGAAACAGGGGCGGTAAAAAAAATAAATACAAAGGCACTGAATGGAAAAACAGTATTCCCAGTACTGCATGGGCCACTGACATGAACCATCTAGAAAAGATGCGTGTACGGAGATCCAAGGTGGGCATCAGGGCCGTGGGAGGGGCGTGTGCTGAGGGACACTGAGGTCTGTTGTGGGGTTGGGAGAATTTGGGAACTGGTCACGGTGGGGTTTGAACAACATGATGACTTTATTACCTAGACATTCCATGAGCAAGTAACATCATGACAACAAAGGAAAGACTGAAATTGTCAAAGACCTCATTTTGATCAGCTCCACCATCAACTCTCACGGAAGCAGCAATCAGTAAATCTAACGACGTATTGCATTAGGTAAATCTGCTGCACAAGACCTCTTTAAAGTGTTGAAGAGCAAAGATGTCAGCTTGAGGACTAAGGTG